TTGGAGTACGACGGGAAAAAAAAAGAAAGAACATGGGAAAATAAAAGAATAGTATGTTCGTTTTACGATTTATACGATAATACGATACTTACTATTATCGGCCTTACTTGTATATGGCCTTACTTGTATATTATTTATTGTGCGATTATTTTGAACAAAAAAAAAGAAAAAAGAAAAAATGAAGAAAAAGAAAAAAAAGAAAAGAAAACAGAAGAAAACAAAATTGCTTTCCTTCATTAATCTCAGTTACCTTTAATGGCAACTTCGTTAAAGCACGATAATGTGTACATAAAAATTATTTCAAATGCAACGCACGTGATATCCCGTAAATGAGAGCGACAATAAAAGCTTTTATTTTTATGTGATCGAATGCTCTTGAACATCTATAATATCTGTGTCTGTGTGTGTCTGTATATATGTATATATGTATGTATGTATGTATGTATGTATGTATGTATGTATGTATGTATGTATGTATGTATGTATGTATGTATGTATGTATGTATGCATGTACGGATGTATGTATGTATGCATGTACGTATGTATGTATGTACGTACGTATGTGCATCGCCACAGTGCATTGATTTCTTTCGTAGATATTATTTACTTTATACATTACAAAAGTAATCAATACTGTCTGGAAATAATCAAATTATCTATTTTCCATTATTTTTCTTTTTCATTCTTTTTTCATTATTTTTATTTTTCAAATCATTGATATAATTAAAGTAATCATTTTGATAATTAATTTCACACGATTGTAGTTTCTACGTTAAAGAATCAACATGAGAAAAATACTGTGCAGTTTTAGCGTTGCTCAAGTTACAAACATACACACATACACACGTATTTACGTAGAAGTACTCTTTGTTTTCTATACGCAAATAATGAATACTCCTCTGTTTTATATATATTTATTTTCAAAGTATTAATATAATTAAAATATTATGAAGGATCATTGAGAGTACAGATAGAGCATCGAACATTTATAGTTTATGCATTACATAATTAAATTTGAATAATCTAGCTTAAGCTTACAATAAGTTTTATTCATGTTATATCTATATGTGTATATATGTGTCTGTCTATGTGTATGTGTGTGTCTGTATACTTATATATACGTATATATATGGAAGTATTTCGTTTTTCAATGGACCATAATAATAAACTCTTTTCTATTTTGTATTTAAATAATTATAAATTATTAATATTATTTAATAGAAATATTATAAAAGTATCATTGAGAGTACAGATCGAGCATCGTATAGTTTCTTTATTATAAAATCAACTGGGAACGTTGTATACCTTCTTAGCGTTCTCATGTTATATAGTAATATTATATCTATACATATACATACATACATTCTATATATATATATATATATATATATATATATATATATATATACACATGTACGTACGTATGTATGTAGAAGTGTATAGTTACACCCTCGTCAATCGTGTGCAATGTATAGATATGTATATTTACATAAAGATATATACGTGTATACGTATACATATATACATACGTATGTACGTCGCGTAAAGTAAGTATACGTGATAAGAGGAAAAGCAACGTGGCTGATAATAAGAGCAATGAATGGGAAATGGGGCGAGAGCTTATATGCTCTTCTTCCGGAGAGTTCCGTCGTCGTTCTACAGAAGCTAGCTAGCTATTTAACCGTATCATGACTGTAGCTATCGGTTACAACCTTTTAGCCAAGTATATACTATCTCTCTCTCTCTCTCTCTCTCTCTCTCTCTCTCTCTCTCTCTCTTCGGTGATAATTGTTAGATACACGTGTTTTAGTTGTCACACATTATGTTATATCAGATATATCTGTAGTTTATAGATATATTTATATATTTTATAGATATATATATATATATATGTATATATATATATATTTATTTATATAATAATAATAAATTATATTAAATAATATTATATTAAATATTATTATATAATATATATATATATATATTTTATGTATGTATGTGTGTATGCATAGTTTGCTAAAATTTATTTTATGACCATCTTTATTTCTCTCTTTATCACTTTCTTTTTCTCCATTTTATTTCATCTTATTTTATTTAATTAACTCAATCAAGTTCGATAAATTTAGATTCGTAAAATGAAACTTCTCAAATAATTAATATCGCACATTGACCTTCGGATATCAAGTAATTGGCTTAGTTTTAAGGTACTATGTCCGAAATATCATTTGAACATAGTACTATATCACCGAAATATCATTTTGGCACAAAGTTCTTCAAGTTGAGTTATGTATATATGTGCTAAGTACGATCGGTACATTTCAAGTGGCAGAGAAGAAAATTTAAATGGATGACCGTGGTAATCGTTGCCAGAAACCGATATAATATCGGTCCTTTCATAATGCATTTTAATCTTACTACGAGATTATCTTCGTTAATAAATTGAAAAAGGAGGGAAGGAGTGTTTAGGTTTCATTAAAAGTATCAAAAAAAATTTGTATTTGAATTAATTTTCTTTTCTCTTTCTTCTTCACATTTTCTCTTTATTATTATTATATATTAACTCAATCGATATCAATGATACATTTTATTTGTAGATGTATGTAATCGAGAAAGAAAGTTTTTTAATTATCGTAGATAAATAGATAGATATATAGATAAATCTATTTAGAATAATAGAAATAAATATAATAATATTAACGAAATTAAATAAAATCGTTAATTTGGATTTAACAATGTATAATGGGTTCTACTTTGCCAATTAGTATCGATACGGATAGATACTTACGTGTTTAGCCCATTACATATACTATTGTCTATTCCCAATAGGTGTCTCGCGTACAGTTAATTAGATGGAGAAGGGGTGAGGGTAGATAGGAGGGACAACCACGAGCTACGAGCTTACGTGTGAAACGTGTCTATATACATGGCTCTCGATAAATACGTTTACACGCCGGTCTGTATTCATTCTACTATGTATATACAGATCCGTCGTATGTCATTCATGTATACTTGTGTTACATATACTATCTATCTATGTTGAGAGATCAACTAAACGGATTTTAAAGTAGAACGTATTGTAGGATTAAACATATGTGTACGTTTAAATTAGAGAAATCTATTAACGTGTGTTGCAAGTACATCAAAATTCAAATCTATTAGATAAATATACATGTATATGTTTATATAGATGGATGGATGTATGCATGTACGTGTATGTATATACGTGTAAATTCACTAATACAAAAATTAACGCGTTTGTTGGCTGATGAACGAACAGAAATAAAATATATCTATAGACATACGATGTGTGTATGTGTTTGTCTATCTTTTCTGTCCGTTCGTCCATCCATGTATATATATATATATGTATGTACGTGTTGGTATATATGTATATATATATATATATATATATATATATATATATATATATGTGTTTGTGTGCGTGTGTACGTGCGTATTCAGAGGAAAGGGTAAACTGTCGACGTTTGTGTGCGAACGATCACGCACGATGATCGTGCGTGGTCCTAATGTAGGACGCAGCCAACAATGGCTAAATTTAGGGTAAGATCGAGCAGTCGATGCGCGAATCGTGCCCACGCATGCCACAGGTGCAATCGTCGAAAGTGATTTCTCACGTTTTTCTTTTTTTTTTCTTTTTTTTTTTTTGCAAGCTTTAAAACGTTCTTCCCGATCTTATCTATTGTTCTTACGTACTCGCGCGTATATATGTATACGTGTGTATATATATATATATATAGACGAAACAATACGATACGAAATCACATATAATATACTTAGATATAACAATACACCGTGATACAGGCTCCAACTAGGGATCCCTAAATACACATGATAAATATACTTGAACAAACGTAACGTTACATTAATCATCTTCGTTGCACACATTCATAATATAACATAACGTAACATAACATAACGCATAGATATAATTTTCCCTCGTGTCACGCGGCGATACGTCAAGCCTGTGTGTAGATTGTTAGTGATAAATAAATACGTACGATATTGGCGTCTATCCAACGTGTGCGTACACTATTGTGGTTTCCAAGTTTGGATATATATATATATATATGTGTATGTTTGTGTATATATATATATATATATATATATATATATATATATATGTATATGTATATGGTCAGATGTATGGTCAGTTTTTTCTTTGGGAAAAACCGAGAAACGAGATATTATTGATATTAGAGAAAAGTGGAAAAGGAGAAAATGCGTTTTAATAGAAAATGACGACCATTATAGGGGATATGGTTTAAGGAGGAAATATTTATTTTTCTTTTTATTTTATTTCCTATTTTCTACTTTTCTTTTTTCCTTCTTCTTTCTTCCTTTATTTTTTATTTTCACATTTATTCGTTTATTTATTTATTTACTTTTGTTTGTTTGTTTTCTGTCTTTTATTTTTTATTATTATTATTATTTTTTTTTCTTTTCTCTCTATCTCTCTTTTTTTTTCGAAACCGTTCGATCTGGGTATATCAAGTTTAGAAATGGGATTTTCGGAACGCTACGGCACCGTCTGGCTACGTCAAAAATGTCTGACTGGCATTACGAAGCAGACGAAAACTATGACGACGATCTGTACGGGAACGCACGTGACGGCCGCCAATCTCTTAGAGAATCTTACGTGTTGAAATTTTTTTTCACACACACACACACATAGATGTTTATCCCTCTTCATCGACGTTGAGACGATGATCATTAGTTTGAACGGTCGATGATCCATATTTAGTAGGATCTCGATCTCATCGGACTCAATTTTCTTCTTCATATAAACGTCGTCACGAATAATTATCTCGATGATTATACTTGAGTGATTTTTTTAACGTATATATATATATATATATATATATATATATATATATATATATATATATATGTATTTTTTTTTCTTTCTTTCTTTCTTTCTTTGTTGAATTTTTTTTATTTTTAGAAAAATAGTGAGAAAGAAGGAACAAAAAGAAAAAATA